GAGCTTCATTTTAAGACCCATATGTCAAGTTTTATGTTTTAAACCAAAAATAGGTTTTATTAGGGGTTTATGAAATATAAGAATTTCTATTTGTGTTTGGGGTAGGATGAACTCTAAGAAATGTTTTTGGACTCCCAATGATCTCACAAATAAGCTAGTAACATTATTTCTTTATGCATTAGTGAAAGAAGTTGGAGAAGGGTCTAAGACAATGGGAAAAGAGAAGTTGACCCTTGGGTGAATTTGGGAAGTTTTCTTCAGCCAAGCCATCAAGGTAACACCCTTATAACCTTCCTAGACCACTTGTAAGCCTTACCATGCATACATGTAGCTTACATTAGCTTTGAAGCATTTAAGAGCATGTTCATGGTAGATCTCAAGTTTATGTATTTTTATGCTATATGATGACTTTTTATAAGCCCTATAAGTTTGGGGCATTTAGGATGGTTTTAAATGGTTGAAGATACTCAAACAGGGCATTTTCGGGTGCCAATATCAATATTGTTCTTATTAAAGGCAAAAATACATAAGTTCTGGGTAGCAGTATCGATACTCGTGCATAGAGTATCGATACCATAAGCCCGGTCTCGATACCTGAATGAAGGGTCTCGATACTGAAATTCCAAAATAACATTTTGGTACTGATACTCATGGTAGTATCGATACCAAGGGTTGAGTATCGATACTCCCTATAGGGGTATCGATACTACCCCTTTTCTCAAGGTTGTCTTTAAGATGTTGGTATCAATACTTCAATGGGGGTATCAATACTCATGTGTCAGTATCGATACTGATAAGCCAGTATCTATATTATCTCTTTTTCAAAGAAATTATGGGGAAATTATAAACATGGTTGAAGGACCCAAACCACTTTAATCCTTCAATAATACATCAAGTGAAAGCAATATTAACAAGTTAATAATTCACTTAAAACCCTAAAATGTAAAAAAAAAACATAAGATTTACCTTGTGTGATGTTTGGGAAACAAAACAGACACCCGAATCACTCTAAAAAGGGGAATGTTTGTATGTTAAGATATGGTCAAACCTAAGATTGTGCATTAGGCACTTCTTTGCTAACTGGGCGTAGATGCCCCAAGGCTCGACGAAGCAAGTTAGCAGGTGACGCAATCTGATGTAGAATTTTGGATTTCCACCCTAGGTAGGATAAAGGAGTGCGTGAGCTCCGATATGCCCCTCAGCCGTACCATGATGTCTACCTTTGTATGTATTATTTATCTTAGCATACTCGTATGCTAGCAAGAATGATTTAAGTATGTTTAAATATGTTCATCAAAGGATTCATGTAGTGTAGTTGGTTATTAGTGTGACACTAAGCTTGTGAGCTCAACGTTCGAAATTTGTTTCCGTACGCAGGTTAGGAGCAAAAGCTTTTGGAGGTGCCTTTATCTAGACTGCCTAGCACCAGTCGCCAGCTTTGAGTATGTCTCGACTTCTGTACTAGTGGCATGTATTGTAAATGAACTTGTATAAGTCAAGTTAGAATTTTATATTCAAATATTTGCAAAACTAAATTTTAAGTTATTTTTAGGCTCCCAAATTTGCAAAACGAATATTATGATTTATGAATTTGCATATGTCAAATTATAGATTTATGCAAACGAATACGATATTTTTAAAGGAAAAATTTTGGTTAGCCACTCTAGTGGTCCATGTGACGTCATAATCCGTCGATCTTTGGGTCGTAGTGGATTAGAATGATACATGAATGTTACTTTAGGATAAAACTACCCTTGATTTTTTTATTAAATCATTTTGACTCTTATTTTTTTTTCTTGGACATTAGACATAAAACTTTTCAGTTTAAGGAGGAAAAAATTCATATTTTCAAGCATCAACGATTGTTAAGTAACAATTTTTACCTACAAAAGAACTTTTTTACTCCAAAATAAAATGTTAAAGATCAAAATATTTTAAAAGAATATAAAATAAAATGACTATTTAATCGAAACGCAAAGATTTTTTATTTATTGTAATGCCAAAATTTAAAAGTCTTGATATTGAGTTCCAAATAACACGGAGTAGAAACAGCACTGGAGTTGGGTTTGTTTCTGTGACAAAACTATCTTACATAGTACAAGTGTAGTACACTTTGTACTGATATTGTAATACCCATCAAGAATCCTTTAATTTATATAAATCTGAAAGTCATCACAATTCACAAGTTCAGATTTCATCATTCAATTCATTCTTTTGTTATTTGCATTCTCATCCTTGCACTTTTGTTAGTTGCATTTTAGTATATTATACTATATTATTGGTTCACTTTTACCACTTTTTTACGTGCAAAATCATAATATATTTTCGGTGATTTCCTTTTCAGATGAAGAGCTTTTAAAGGATGGAGCTGTGGGAAGCAAAGTCATGGGATTCTGTGGCTTTGCATGACACTACTTTGGATTAACATTGTTATGGACGATGATAATTAAAGTAGTGGTATGCAAATCCACAAACCCAACCATCCATGACCAAAACGAGTTTTTATGACTGAATTATTGAGTCGTTTCGGTGATTAAAGTAGTGGTATCCATGACCAAACCCATTTACATTAACCCATTCGACCCATATACAATTAAACCCACATGGTCCTTTACCAAACCCAACATTTGAGTTTTGTTACCTGGTAAGGGTTCTCTAGTAACTGCCGTCTCCTGGTCACAAGTCCACAACAGCAAGCAAGAAGCTCCCAACCGATGGTCCCAACGTTCCGGTGCTCCCACGTCAACACCCCAGCGGCCAAAAGGCTTTGTTTCAGATCGAGACTAGGCCTAATTTAGGGGTCGAACGGTGGTTGGAGTGAGCGATGGCCGATGGGGAGTTTGGGACTCCATGGTTTCGGCCAGTTCAAGAAAATAAGAGAGTGGAGTGTGTTTTTCTAAAAGGGAGTTTGCTTAAATCGGCTAGGGTTTCATTTAGCTAGAGAAGATTGGCTTTATAGGTGGAGTTTTGGGGTTATTGTGTTTAGGTCACCCAATTTTAACCGTATTTTTCCATTTCCGTCACTATGGGTTTCGTTTTTTATTTACTTCAATTTGGATACACTTCTTTGACTGTTTACATTTTAGTCACTTTTTTTACTGCTTTTATTTAATTCGAATTGCTTGCTGTTATTTTATTTTATTCTTCATTCCAGCCTCTAAATTACTAACATACTAATTACTAACTCCTAACTTACTAATTTTTTGTTTTCTCATTTGAATCGTGCTACGACCTTGTGGTGAGTTGCTCTGGGATAAGATCTGCATTATTTATGATCCGGAATAAATTATAAAAAATAACCTCTAACTTCTAACTCACTAACCACTAACTTTTTTTATTCAATTTACATTTCTGTTATTTACATTTATGCTCTTTATTTTTTCCATTATTTACATTTATGCCTTATTTATTTATTTCTATTCTTTAATTTTTGTCATTTATATTTATGCACTTTATTTTTCTGTTGTTTACATTTATGCACTCTTTTTCTGTTATTTATACTTCTGTCCTTTAATATCTGTCCTTTAAATTTCAGTATTTATATTTCAGTTTTTTTTTTTTAAATTCCAACATCTATTATTCTGCTTGTTTTAATTTGAGCTTCATTTTTTTCATTTTAGCCCTTCATGTTCTTTACAAGCTTTATTCCAATTCTAGTACATGTAGTTTTTCATTTGTATTTTGGTCCCTATACTTTATATTATTGTATCTTTTAATATGTAGTTTATTTAATGTACATTATTTATTAAAAATTAAGGTATTCTTTTTAAATGTATCATAATTTAAATATCACTTGAATTTACAATTTTCAAATATAAAGATGATGTTTAATCGTACCGATTTCGAGTGTTTTGGGGTGCTCATCCCATCCTTTCCTATGCGTAATCGACTGTCGAACCCTTTTCAAAATGAAGTTATGGTTAAACACAAGCTGGTTTTTGTCTTTTAATTTAATTTTTTTCTTAAAATTATTTTAAAATACATTTTTAGGTATTCCACCTACCTAACTCAAAAAATCGATGGCGACTCAAAATCATTTCTTTCTCAAACCTGATCTTTTCAAACTAAGTTGGTTCGGTCCCCATTATAGCTTCCACAAAATGTTTAAGGACTATTCCGACATACTGCAACCTATGTGACACCTCTAATATAAATCAAATGATTTTAATAGTACAAAATGCTATTTAAAAAAATGGATTCGAAGAGTTACATCAATAGAATATGTATATAATGTCAGATTAATAAAAATTCTAAACATCTTACATAATAGCTACCATTTATAACAATTCCTATAGGAGAGGAGAAAGAAAATTTCTCACTTCATAAGGGATTAGAATTTTGTATAGTCGCAAGCCATGAACGATCTTATTGTCTGCCATTTTATTAAAAATGTATGTCAGCAATGTTAATAAAGATGTAAACGAAGATGATCTCAAACTTTTCTCGACTCTGTCAAGAGCTAGAAATTTGAAAGCATTGTAAATTAAATATAAAATTATTACTTTGTCTGATGTTTCAACTATAATTTAAAAGTAGAGTTAAATATTACACTTTTTTTTAAACATTACCACATCATCGATTTAACACGATAATAATGAGGTACCCTTTTGTTATAAATCGAAAACGTTAGTGACCGTACTATGACTTCAACTTTAGTGGTAAAAAACAAACTTATCCAAACATCAGTGACCATTAAAGTATGTTACCCAAAACAAAATTCTGATTAACTCCCTCCGATTTATGGACTTCAGTCGATTCAACGATTTCCTCGAAAGGAAAATTAAAGATAAGAGTTTCCAACAAATTCATAGACAAGAATAGGCTTCATATGTATTTATCTCAAATTGTAAAAACAAAACCAAAACCCTTTTCTTTTCTTCTTTCTTTCTGCAGTTGCTCTCCCTCTTGGACTATAACCTTTGCCATTGACCTTGAGTACTCGTGTTATTAAGGTTTGAAAGGATTTTGGCTATTAGAAATAAGATCAGTCCGGATGATAGTGAAGATTTTCACCTCTGACTAGCAAGTATTTCAAATAAGGAAAAGAACAGCAGGCATTCCACACTCTGCTCTACTGATGCCCTTCAACAAGTTACAGGATCGGTTTCATTTCTGCCCGGAAAAGCTATACCTCGCCGAAACACGGTCGGGGCAAGTGGGGATTATGGTTGTCATCATGATTGGCTGTCAATCTTCATATATATTCATGTTATTACAAGCATATATGTTCACATGGGGAAACGAATTCAGCACATCATCTAACTAAGCACAAATGTTAAAAGGGCCTCGTTCTCTCAATTGACAAAAGCAAATCGGCTTCTCCTTCGCGGTCGGAATCTTTGGTCTACTTAGAATTTGAAATCCTTTTTCTTTGATTTCCCTTCTTTCTCATGCATCTTACGCTTCCTTTTCTTCTCATTCTGCATCAAAATACATGGAGTTAACAATCATACACATCCAACCACATAATCCATTAAAAAAATCAAGGTTTGACCCAAATCAACTCCAAATTATTAAACCATCTTTAAGAAATATAGGTATCTTCCATTTCATATAGTTTGTATGAAATACTGTTGAATACATTCCGCTAAATGCCTAATTTCGGTATCAAGCACATCAGCAGACCTAACTTCAGTTTAGGACTAACTAATCCAACATAGTCAAACATAAAGGCTGAACTTTTATTGTTCAGACTTGGTCGATAATCAGGAGGATAGTGAGTTTTTGCCAAAATCATGTGAAACAATGACATATTTGAAGCATTATTATTATTATTATTATTATTACTACTACGACATTTTTGGATAAATTTGGAAACACCCAAAATTTCATCCAAAAGACTCCAGTAAGCCTTACCTCAGCCACCATATCGCTGAAGTCCTCACGCTGACTTCGTTGCTTCTCCTCCTCTCTAGCTTCTTCATACCTGTGAAATCAGCCGAAGTGAGTAAACTAGATTAAACTTTGGGGAGTAGATATACTTAGATGGTAAAAGTCACAAGAGTCCAACTCACTTTGCAGGCAACACATTGTCCATTAGTTCCAACTCCTCTGGCTGTAGACTGACTTCCACCCTGTCAGATTTTTGGCCCTTAAGAAGATCAACCTGCAACAGGAGAAAATTTATTATCAAACGTCAAATTATGGCAACATAACCAATTTAGTCACAAAGATTTCAACTTCAGGCTAAAAAACATGTGATTTAGGCATTTAAAAACATTAGTTTGACCCAAGGGCTTGTGAGTTGAAACCCCCCTTATAACAGCTAGTTTATCAGAGTCGGTGGGTAAAGGAACTGCAAGATCAAAAAACGACTACTCTCTCTTACCCTTTTGGCAGTTGACTTGTCTTGGGTGCCAGTGTTAACCACATATCTGTATGTAAAAAACAAGTTTCGTGATGTCAGTCAAAGATTGAACTATAGAAACATAAATAAATAAATAAAAATCAGATTCCTACGTGTGAGTTGTGCCAAGTAAAGTCCCAGGAGCAATCCTCTCTTCTTTTTCTTCAAGCACCTTTAAAGAAACAAGACAAATGTGAGGCAGTCAGAAGGAATCTCAAGAATAACATATGGGAGATATAAATGACAACAATTGGAGACGGCATAGTTTCAAATATAATACTCACTTGGTAAAGAGGCCTCTCCGGCTCCTTTCTCTGCTGTTTACGAAGGTCAATGACATCAGGCGTCTCAACTCCAGTAGGAGTACTGTAGTGAAAAGGGGGAGGTCATCAATAAAATAGTTAATACTCCACATACAACATAGAAAAATCATGGCTATTAATCAGTAAAAATCAAACTGAAAGCATCTGCCCAGATAATTTTGGGCAGTAAAAAGATTAACACCCTAAACAGAAAGAAAATTGTAGAATATTATTACCTTGAAAGGCTATCGACAGATTGGATTCCATCCTCTAACTCCTCCTCCTCAATCTCCTCTTCTTCTTCCTCCTCCTCCTCTTCCTCCTCCTCCTCTTCTTCCTCCAAATCACCCCAATGCTTTGACTTATCAACAGGCTCGTCCTGGATTTTATCATTAGATACAAGGAAATAACATATTGCAAAATTGAAGCAGACTCAAAAAGTAAAAGTTTAACTCAAAATGTTGAAGCTATCAATGCTACTTTTCATTTTCAATATAAATGGCACCTGTAGCCAAGTACACAACCCACACCAAGAAAGGTTTTGCAGAATGTTTCTAATGGGATACTGCCAATAAAGTCGATTGCCTCGAAAAATTTGACAAAAGTTAAAAAAATTGCCATGGAGAACATAATACAATCTATTGAGGCTAGTATACATCTAGAGGGAGAAAATAATGTTGACGTACTTGTGTGGGTCAAGCATAATGTTAAGATGCTACTTCACCCTCACTAGTTCTTTTCTTATTTATTTAGTTGTATTTCCACGTTACTAATTTTGTTTCACGGGAAGACCAATACCAATAAAGGATCAAAACACCAGCTAAAAACCCAAGTGTCAGCATATTACTCCAGCTCTAAACTAGAATTATCCAAAATCAAAACTTCATTGGAAACTTGGAAGTTGGGACTTGGAAGTACCTCATAGTTTGGCTGATCTTGCTGCTGGACTCCAAATACATCTCCATACAGAGGCCGTCCATACTATTGAAAGTTGGAAAAAGCAAGAAAGTTAAGGAGTTGTATTAAAAAGATCACCTCGTCTATATATAGCTTTCAAACTTACTAGAACACACAGAATGCGGAAATTTTCTGAGAGGCTTACCTCATCTACCGGAGGTTTGCCCCAACCACCAGGGTGATAACCAAAGCTCGCTCCATGAGGAATGGGTGCATTTAGGCCAGGTATTTTCAAATGTGGGTATGATGGTGGAGGACCATACCTCTGCAAAAAAAAATACCAGTTAATAACACCAACAATACCGAGACATCAGATGCTGAGAACATTAACCAAATTAACCTGCATATTGATAAGCCATGGGGGTGGAGCACCCTCTGGCATACCAAGAGCTTCTTTTAACTCATGTGATAGAGAGCCTGGCTTCATCTCCCTCAACTTAAACTGTATTCCAAAGAAACAATATTAATTTAAGACAATGGGAAAAATATGAAAAGATATCTATAACCAGACATTAGTCATTCAAGATTAACTACAAAAGTGCCAATATCATTTCATTCGGGTATATCACAGTAGCCAGTAGCAGCTCAAATTTATCCAAAGGTTGAAAGTTTCCGCAAAACAACAAGCCAGCCTATCAACTAGATGGCCATTGAATTCACACACCAAAACGAAAATAGCAACAGAAGACTGCATACATGCAAAACTTATTCCACAAAATGTTCACTGCGAAAACCAGTTTCTGTAACCCAAAAGATTTTAAAGAACAAAATTTCTTAAATCACAGGTTTAACTTAAGCTAAACTTATATAAAAGTACTTGAAATTTTACAGGAACCAAAAAATCATCCTGTGCTTAGGGTCCACTGTATGATACTATCATTAGAAAAATTTAAGTATATGGTATTCGACAATGCCCCTAACTCCCTATAATCTTCAGAATTCCATGTACAGCCTTATGTTGTACAACTGCACATCAATTTTAAATTAATTGAAACATTCATTACATTGAAAAAGCATAGGAGGCAACCTATTATCCATGTAGAAATAGCAGAAGTGTACCTCAAATTCCTTCCCTTCATAATAGAGATCCCCGTGAGTTGTCAGCTTTGGCTTTGTCTGATATTTAAAGAATGCATCATGAAGAACCTAAAAACAGAAGCCAGAACATCATTAGCTATAACAGTATGACAATATAATTTCACAAAGGAAAAGATGATTAACCTTCCACGACAGTTAAAAATGGGTTGAATCAAAAATTCAAATCTCCAAAAATAAAAGAGAGAATCAATGAAGCAAGAAACTAAGGAACCTGATAGTCGATATCCATTTTCCCCATTTTTGGCTGCATACGCTCCCGTTGCTTTTGCTTCAGCTTCTTACTGTCCTCTTTTTCAATGTAAGCCTAAATGAGAAAAGGACAGGTAGAAAACATTTATTCGGTTAAAATAATGTCATTGTCCAATCAAAATCAATTTATCAGATTAAAGCACCATATAGATTTCCACAACATAAACCACAGGACACCACAAAACTGCTATTATAATGAACTAAATTTACCTGTCTAATTTTCTCTATTCCTGTTGCAGCAATGAAATCAGGAAGCTGAAAGGGTTGCTTCTCAATACCGCGCTTCCCCTACAGAGAATATCCACAAGGTGATGAGAAACAGAAGTTCAAATAATAATAATTATATCTAGGAAACTTTTGCATCAAAGTAGGGTCACTTAAAAAATTAAATTTTAGATGGATCTATCCCGGGCATTTAGCACAATGGAAAGGCATCTGAAAATCCAAAACAGATTAATTAGAGCCTTATCAATTAACAAATTATCCCCCAAAATCTAGCATGCAAGTTATGCTACTCTATAAATATATATATCCCAACCCAAAAGGCAGGCATATTAAAGAGAAATCATTCATGAGTCCTTTCAGCAAAACACCTATAAGTCCAGGCTCCAATGCTTTAACAGCTGTTCCCCTGCAAGAAGTACATATATACATATAAGAGATGCCTTATCGACTTGATCTTCCCTCACCGACTTCCCTAAATCACTCACAGAAGATTACAACTAACAACCATAATTGCATATCTGACCCATATTAATAGTGAGGGATGTAAGAATTTCTAACCTGCAAATATTTCCTTTTCTGCGACCAGTGCCTTGGCACAGGAACAGTATTTCGATATGCCTTCAAAAACACCAGCAACTTAGGATCTGCAGAAGTGGCATCCCAAACCTGACAACAAAATAATATTAACAACTGAATTATAAACGCAGGAGTAAACACTGTTCTCCATACGAGTTGCATCATCCCAACAGCATTGCATGAGATAATCCAAAGGAAACAATTGGAAAAAAGCATCCCTTAATAGCCGCAAAAAGGAAAAACCTTCATTTAAGGATAAATAAATAAAAATTTCATAGCAAATGTGCTCTGATTTGACATTGGGAGATAAAAAAAATTAACACTGGTTTAAAAAGTAATATAAACAAGACAGGTTATCAACTAACCATTAAAAGAAGAAAAATCAAATAAACAGCAAGAGGAAAATATACCTCTACAACATCAGGCCTTGAGCAAACTTGTTTCAGTTCAGCAATTTTCATCCGCCTTTGTAGCTGTCAGCAATACCAAAACAAGTATTTTCACTTTTCAGTATGATTCCATGAACTAATTAATATTATAATATAATCAATATAAGAACCACAACGAACGAGAAACCAAAAACCTTCTTCTTCTTATTTGATAGGCCGCCTTTCTCTTTCTGTTGATTATCCTGCTCCTCCTCGTCTGAATCAGAATCGGTCTTCTTCTTAGCATCTGCATCTTGAGCAGACTCATCCTTCTTATCCGTCTCCTGTATAAATAGAATTACAAGGGTTTTAGAGAACTAACAAGGAAATTCAAAAATTAACCATCATATATGAGTTTCATTTTACCTCAGAACTAGCAGCTTCCCAGAAGCTGAATTTTTCAAAAACCTTCCTAAGTTCATCATCAATACCATCATCTAACTCAGCTTTTTCAGGAACGTACTCAATTACAACTTGTTCCATCACCTACAGTTTGAAACAAAAGAAACGCTAAATCAAATATTAAACAAATGTAAGTTAATTTAAAGTGCACTACGAGGAACAATGAACTTCTATTTAAAAATTGCCAAATTACAACCTACAGTTAGGCGAAATTTTTTTTATCAATTCCATTATAACTAAAGAAAATCGAAAACCCTTACATCACAACCAAAAGATATATTACATATAAATACCGGCGAATACCAACGAAAAAAATCGATATTAACTAAAAGCACAGAAATCTCAAAGAAGAAAACGATTAGATACCTGCTGGTGATTGGAACTGTTCTTCGTTTCATCTTCGCCAGAATCGCTGTCACCGGCTTCGGAAGCTCCACCGTCCACCGCGTCATTTTCTTTCTGGGAGATTTTCCTGTTCTTGTTTTTCTTCTGCTTGCGCCTCCTACGACGTCTTTCGGTCTCGCGGGCCTTCTTGGAGGCTGCGGAGGGGTTAGGGTTAGAGTTTCCCTTACTCAGATCTCCGTCGTAAGCAACGGTACCGTTTTGGTTCGAGAGTATTTCGGCAGCCATTCTCTGTGTTCAATCCGACGAATAGAACCGGGAGAAGGTTTTCGAGAAAGAGGGAAAATGGGGAAGAAGAAGGGAGGGAGGCCCTAAATAGCTAAATATGGAGAAAGATACGCTCGTGTGGTTTCGGTGGCACGTGAGATATTGTTGGGCTTTATGGACAAATTGGGCTAGTTTAAAGTTCGAATTATATCTGTCTAGTTAGGGATAGGCATGCTATATGAACCCGACGGGTTTTGACCCGGCTCGATTGGGTTGGGTTTAAAAAAAATTGAGTTCGAGTTTAGGGTGAAAATTATCCGAATCAGCCCGAAAAAATATATAATTTTACCTTATAAATTTAAGAATAATTACAATAATACCCCTCTATATATATTATTTTTTTCAATTAAGTCACTATTTTTTATTTTTATTGAATAAAAATAATATTTTATTATTATTTCGGGTCGGTCGGGTTTTTAATTTATATATCAGGTCGGGTTCAGGTCGGTTGAAATCTTGTTTTGGTCGGCTTGGATTGGATCTCGGGGTAGGGTGGACTAAAAATCTGACCCAACCGGACCTATGCTCATCTCTATGTGTATGTGTAGTGGGTGGCTAGTTTATTTTATTTTATTTAATAATATTTTTATCATTTTATACAACTCGTATTAAAAATAATATTATTCAAATATTTAAAATTATAATTTGGACATATAAATTATGTTTAATGAATTAGACCAATCTGATGAGTGGATAATTTCATTATTTAAAAAACTTATTTCTGTATTAATATTTATCATCATATAATCAAATTAAAAATATAATATTTTTATCGTTTATACTCGTACTAAAAGAATGAGTCAAAATTATTTTAACTCTTTGAATAAATCTAATTTACGTAAATAAATTGTTTTTAATAAATAATTATTAAAAATAACTCATTCTTTATTTACTAAGAATTTCAAACTTTTTATGTATGTAAAGTAATTTTCCATATAAATTTAAGATGTAGTATTACAACTTGATTGGATGCTAACTCAATTAAAAAAAACATCACACCATTCAAATTATATATTAAAATACAATTATAAAATTGGATATTTTAGTAAATTCACAAAAATATATCTATTAAAATTTACTCAATAAACAATTTTAAATGGAATAATAAATTATTTATATTTTATTTTATCAAATCATGCATTTTTAATTTTTTTAGGGTAAACTATACGAATAATCTCATTTATTTTTGATCTGATCGACTTTGATTACCGGTTCAATTACGATATTGGTTGGTTCTCCCTCAAGCAAAAGGTTGATAGCTTGGAGAAGAAAGAAAACGTCAAAACGTCGTCGTCAACTCAATAAGACTCCTGATGATGCTGATAGCTTGGAGAAGAAAGAATCTGTAGGTAAACCTATACACGACAAGGAACTACGCTTGGAGTTGTCTTGTTCTGCAAAACCTTCATCGGGCATTGGATATTTATGTCCATCGAAACCCCACCAAGAAAAGATTACCATTCTCGAAGAAGAAAGACAAAAGCAGACCCTCAAGCTGTTTCCACTTAGAACCAACATTAATATCAGCAACAAAGACACCAATCAAGAAGTACCCATCACAACCATAACTACAACAACAACACAGTATTTTGAGTTTTTTCCTTTGAAGAACTAAACAAAGAACACGGGGTGGGTAAGGGTGTTGATGAATGATGAGAATGGACACTGGGAATTGAAGAAGAGATGGGTTGACGTTGAACATTTTTTGGAAGGAAAAAACTTGCAGAAAGATGAGTTGATTTTGTTAAGTGAAGAGTGGAGGCGATGACACGTCGTCGTCATCTAACACGTCGGATGTGGCGGGGTTGTACTGCTAGTGGAGAGGCGAAACTGTGGAAGGACCGTAGGGGAAGCCTCATCGGCCACGTGTCGGGATAGCAACTCGACGGGATTCTTCAAGCTTTAGAGATTTGAAGCGCCCATGTAGTAGCAGTGAAAAAGTCGTGTTCGTCTTCTTAAACCATCATCCACCTTTCTTCTTTATCTTCAGTAAAAATTGAGAAGAAAAACGAAAAAGTAATAAGGGGCTAGCTGATATTGATTTTCACCCAAAAACCCACAGAACTAGCCGACTGACGTGGTTTTCTTGGAATTTTTAATTGCCACATCACACATCTGTTAATGGGTTAACAGATGTTGAATTCTGTTGGAACATTGTATATTAAATCAATAAGGGACTAAGCGTGTTTTATTTTTAAATCGGTGATCAAAATCAGTCAAATCAAAAATAAAGAGGACTATTTGCATAATTTATTTTTTATTTTATATAAAGATTATATAAAATATAAAAAATACAAATACAAATATACTAATAAAATTTGTCTTTAACCAACATATATCGCTGACCACTTCTGAATATTATTTTGTTCTAGCAATAATAACCACTGATATCGAATCCAAACGGATCAGTTGTCATGTATATGATAATCAATGATATAATATCTAAATCGGTCGGGAGTTAATATATATGATAATCAATAATATCAAATCCAAACCGGTCGATGGTTTATGTACATGATAAATTGTGATATCGGATTTGAACCGGTTAGTGGTTAATGTACATGATAATCAGTAGTATCAGATAAGAATCGGTAAATGGTTAATGTACATGATAATTAGTGAACCGGTCGAGAGTTAATGTACATGATAATCAATAATATCAAATCCAAACCGATCAATGGTTAATGAACATGATAATTAGTGATATCGTATCTAAACTAATATGTGGTTAATATCCATGATAATCAATGATATCCGATCTAAACCGGTCGGTGGTTAATGTACATGATAATTAGTGATATCAAATCTAAACCGGTCAGTAATTAATGTACATGATAATCAGATATATCGAATCTGAACCTATCGATGGTTAATGTACATGATAATTAGTAATATCGGATCCAAACTGCCAGGTCCTCCAAACCGAAGATCCTATTTAAACTCAAGCTCTCTTTGATTGAGGGCAAAGGGCCTTAACACATTGATAATTACAAGGCAATGAAAAACTTCTTCATTATACCTACTTTCATGTACACCGAGTCTTCGCCTGCATCAAGACGATGCACATACTGCTATAAAGAATAATACTGTCAATCAAAACAAAAACATAAAAGGGGCAGAAAATTGTGTGGTGGGGGTAAAAATCAAACAAACGTATCAATGGACAATAATCAAGGTCTGCGGGTCAGATCGATACACAGTGTGTGCCAACTCTAATCCTTGTCGGCACCAGCATTCTGTTATAACAAAACAGCTAATCTAAAACCGAAGACAGGCTGTACAGAATATTTGATTACTTCTCATGGTATCGGTATCCTACACGATTCGATCACTTCACTCACTGCTTTATGAGTCTCCGAAGAAATCATGTTTAATATAAAATCAAATGCTTGCATCAGAAGAAAAATAGAGTTTTAAAGATCATAGAACCAATGTTAACCTATGACTTTGTAACTCTTAAGGGCCCATACGTAGTAAATTGTTTTGCAGTAACAGATTTGGTACTTGACCATCCAGCTCAGTTGGTAGACCACAAGGTTCTTAACCTTGAGGTTCTGGGATCGAGTCCCATAAAGGGTATTTCATAATTTGGAGGTCTCCTACGGAAGTTGCTCTCAACCTAGTATTGGGGACAGCCTACTATCTTACCTCCCCCTTATCCCATTACATATGGGAACAAGGGACAACCATTTATAACCAGATTTGGTACTTGAATTACACATACCACAAATCTCTCCAACACAGGTACCAGAGCCGACAGGCTGTGCTTTGGGAGACAATTGACTATGATGATGAATTCTTCAACCTCACTAGTGCCAATAAAGTGCTCTGAGCCATGAAAAAAATAGAGCAAAATAAGACATTCACGAAAAAAAGAGGGGGGGAGGTTCCTCACTGAAGAAATAATTCCTCCAGTACCATCATCTTCTCCTTGGTTTGCAACGAAGATAGCACATAGCAGTGGAATGACAGCCATGGGACTCCCCTCTCTTAATCCTTTTGAATTTGGTAAGGAAACAGAAGCTGCTGCAAGCCGTGATCTGCATAGAAGATTGACACATAACTGTTTATGAATATAGAAAAGGCGTAAAATGCCCCCAACCCTGATTTGGAAACCACTGCACTGAATGCAAAGAAGGTACGTGAACCTCTTATGTTCATCCTTCTCCACTAGGTTCACAAGCAAACCCAGTATTGCTACAAGGAAATCTAATTCAGGATCGGTAAGAGGTCTGTCTTTCTGGTTGTGGTGTTCTACACTAAGAGAAATCACTTCCATTTCACTGCTGTGGGGCAAATATGAGCAGAATGTAGGGTAGTGGCAGGCAATTAACGTAGACAAGATTTCTAGGGCCCCCGAAGCCGCAATTTGCCGACAGCCGAGTGGCTTGTCATTTGTTAAATTCATCAAAACCTGCCAAGATAACATCGTTGCTGATCAAATAAACCACTAGTCTAAGAGAAAACATACAGAAGATCAAAATGTCATACGCAGCAAAGCCTGTTTATGCAGTCCATTAAAAAGAGATCCATCAATACAATTGAAGGATTCACGAAGCAAACCAACGAAAATAGGTAACTTTCTGCCTCACTGTAATATGCATATTATAACATTTTGAAGCCAAAAACAAGCACTGCAAAGTGTCTTGAGTTGTTCATACGATTCAAGTCATGAACCTAAAGGTTACTCACAAATCAAAATAAAAGATGTTTAGGTCTTTAATTTATTTTACATATTAAAAAACACTATCAACTCCTTAAAAACTACCTATTTTAGGTTTTTTTTTGGTGTGTGTGAAAAGAGAGAGAGAAAAGAAACTGACCAAGTATATCAGATTATGCTGAGGTAAACAAATATAACAGAATGCAACAGACCTTAATGCTACAGGAAACACAAACTAACCATCAAAGGAGATTTTAAAATTGATAACAAAATCAAATGCCGTCAGTTCTGAGAAGGGAATTCAATTTTCTGAACTCTTCCTGTAATTAGTAATCCATATAGCCAAAAACAAAAGTTCAAAAGAAGCAAAATACACCTTTAACTTAATTTGAATTCAATTTCAAAAAACCATCCAAAATTAACACTACCCACATGCCCATATAAAGAGATTTCAACAAAAGGAACCTTAAAACTAGAAACCCAACAAGAATTTAGCATACCCATGAGTTCACAACAGTCTCCTCTGTGGGGCGGTGGCGCAAATCGAAAGCAAAGACAAGAGACTCGCTCTCCTGACCCTCACCGGGTGACCTTTCTTCAACCCATCGAAAGCGAAATTAACCTCGTCCACGTGCTCCATCATTTCCCCGAACTCTTGAGCCTCCATCAGACTCGAAGTCGACGAAATCCATGGCATAGAAGAATACCCCACCTCTTTCTTGCTCTTGACTTGTTTCTGTTTCTTGGATCTTTAACGACGTCATTTCTCGAATCGTCGAATTCAAAAACCCTTTGGGTTGTTATTGTTTTAACGGACGTCATTTATTTAGTATTGGATGTGAATCTGTGGGGAATCTTCGAAGGACTGAAGTTAGCGTGGGACTTGAAGCTTGCAACAATTGTAGTTGAAACGGATTGTAGCGATGTGTTATCTGTGTTGGATGGAGAGGCAAACACAGGGGGGGTAGTCGGTGGTGCCACATATCATGGATATGTTAAAGCAGAACTAGATGATAGTTCTTACTTATGCGTCTCGTAAGTGAAATATCGCCGTAGATGGATTGACTAGTTTAACCCAAAATGCTAACTTAGGCGAAAGACACTTCCAGCAGCCACCGTTAAAGGTTGAGGAGGCTTACTACAGAGAAGCAGGAGGACACAGCCATACTAAAGATTATACTGGTATAGTTCACTGTTTTGTTTATTTTTATAACATTCAATATATATATATTAACATCAAATAGTCTACACTCATTTTCGTCTATTTATTTTTTATTTTATATATATTTATATATTATATAGTTTGTAAATAATTTTTGAAAGTATATATATAATATATGAATTTGAAAATATATTTGAAAATATTTATATATTATATAATTTTTAAAACATTTTGAAAATAAATATAATATATAGTTTTTAAAATATTTTTGAATATATATATATTATATAGTTTTTAAAACATTTTGAAGATAAATATAATATATAGTTTTAAAAATATTTTTTAAAAATTATATAATATATAGTTTTGAAAACATTTTTGAAAAAATATATAATATATAATTTTGAAAACATTTTTGAAAAATTATATAATATATAGTTTTAAAAACATTTTTTTTGAAAACTTATATAATATTTTCAAAACATTTTGAAAGCTATATATATAGTTTTGAAAACTTTTTTGAATATAATATATAGTTTAAATTTTTTTGAAATATATATTATATAATTTATATCATATAATTTTTTTATTTCGTGTTATTCATTTCATTTTATTTTGTTTTGGTTAAGGTCCATCGTTTTGGGTTCAATATTGGTTAAACAGGCCTCAACCAGTCCATGTCTATTAGGGTTGCAAAACCCTAACTTATCAAGATAAAAACTCCAGCGTCGCTTGTGATCTTGGACTGTTGGATCTGACTCAATCCAACAGTCGAGATCAAGGGTTCCAGAAGATCTAAAGTCATCGGTCAGCCGAGGATTCTGGCAACGTGCAGCACCAAAATCGAAGCTACTCGGACTGAACCATCCGAGATCACCGAGAACAACCCCGAAATATCCGGGATCAACTCCAACCACAACTGGAAATAGCCCTAACGGGAGCCTATAAATATCAAGGTATCAACGACGGCCGGAGGGGGAACAGAAAACCAAATTGATGAAAATCACCGAAGCATAAACATAGTAAACCGAGGGAAAACCATCAAGCAAAACAACAAAACCCATATACATCAGCCAACATCGAAAAACAGAAAGCCAAACACAACGACCAACCAATTATCGAAACAAGAAACACGCAAGCAAATATATCAACAAAGCCATTCGAGACCCAAAAGCAGTAAATAAACCAGCACACATCGGAACCGAGAGGAACTTGCCAGGAAATTAAGCGTCACCAACAAAAAGGGTAAATATCGAAACTTTGTAGATCTACGGCGTTTGGGGGGTTTTTAGCGGATTTGGGGTTTAATTTTGGCTTTATGGGCTCAAGGTGGGTGTTTTGGGGTGTTTTGAGTTTTTTCGGCCGTCGTCGGCGGCGTTTGACGGAGGTCGGGCTCCCTTCAGTGGAATATTTTAGAGAGAGGCGAGAGGAGTTTGGTTTCTCTCATTTTAGAGAGAAGATGAGAATGAAGAAATGAGAAAGAATGAGAGGATTTGGTCCTAATGGGGGTATTTATACCCTCCCCAAAATGACGTAGTTTTGGGGAGGGATCTGGCTATAATTTCACATATGGGTGAATTCTGTAAATGGTCCCTGTAATTTTCGTTCTTCACATTTTGGTCACTAAATTCAATTTTTAGTATCTTAATTTGGACTTTGAATTTATTATTTTTGCATTATGGTCCCTAATTCATGTTTTATTCAAAATGGCCTAGGTATTTTTTGCATGTTTCAATTTAGCCACTATTCTTTTTTCCTTTTTTTTGATTCAGCCACAGTTTATTAAAATTTTACGTTTTGATCCTTTTTACTTATTTTTCGATTTCTTTGTTAATATTTATTTTTTTTCTTAACGTTTTTTCATTTTGATTTCTTTCCAATATTTAACTTATTTTTTTTATTATTCTTTTCATTAAATTATATTTTGTTTTTTTCTTCTCTTTAATTTTTTTACTTTTTTTTTCCTTTTTTTACTTTTTTTCCTTTTGATTTATTATTTCTTTTTTCTTTTTTTCCTCTTTGATTTATTTAATATTTATTATTATTATTTTGTATCTAACATTTTAGATTTTTTTAGAAAAATTTCAGCCAATCAAATGTAAGTAATTTGAATCAGATCTTTGAATTTTAATTTAATTTTTTAATCTTCGCGACTAAGACAACCGACAAATTAATTGGTACCGAAAGGACGGTTCAAGGGTGCTAATCCTTCCTTGACCGTAACCGACTCCTGAACCCGACACGTTTCTGGTACAACGCAGATCAGGTAAGATGGTGTCTGACCCACCTAAATTCGTTTTAAAGTGGTCGGTGGCGACTCTAACCCAATTATTCACGTCGAAGCCCAATTCAGGGCCCACCCGAAAGATGGTTCCGACAATGAGAATTTAATTATTACAAACACATTTTTAAGTAAGATTTTATTTAGTTTGCATTAATTTTAATAATAATCATTAACAAAATATAACAAGAAAATTTGCAAAACTAATAACTAAAACTAACGGGATATACTGCGCCAACATCAGTCTTTCAGCCTCATTTTCCTATATAAAAAAACGAGCTCTACAACTCCATGCCCTATTGCTACGCTTTCAAGGCTGCATAGCCAGTAAAAAGAAAATGAAAATGAACTCTAGGATGTTCACCTGGAGGTAACATCAGTGATAGTGACAGGAACAGAACTCATCTGATTGCTGGTTGATGTGGCAGACGATTCGATCGACTTCTTACTCGAAGATGCCACTCCATCTTGAAAGAATCCTGGTGCCATAAGTTCTTTATCGTTCAGCCGAACATTCCGTCCCAGCATTTTAATAACCTGGCTCATTAAAGGCCTTCGATTGGCTGCTGCTTGCGTGCAGAAAAAGGCTACTTTCATGTACCTAAGGACTTCTTCCTCCGGGAATTCTCCAAGCTCAGGATCCACGAGCTCGAGGAGCTTGCCTTCTTCATGGAGCTGCCATGCCTATCAAAGCAAACAATAATAATATGTTGAATACGTTGAAGAATGATACATAGGTAAAACTACAGAAATATTGTAAACAAAAATAAATGCGTACCCATTCCAAGAGTAGCATCCCCGTGCCTCCCCAGTCGGTCTTTGAGCTGCTTCGGCCACTAATGATTTCGAGTACAAGGACACCAAAGCTATAAACATCAGCCTTCATGGTTAACTGACCACCCAAAGCATATTCCGGGGCCAGATAACCACTGCACAGAATGATGTAAAAGCATAAGTCATTATCATTCCCTTTTCATCGTTATACAAATTTTATTTTAGAGATTTAGGTTTCATTCAGAAAAAAAAAAAACCCGAGAGATCCGGCCATTTTTTTCACAGATTCAGAGGCTGAAATGCTGATTATCCATACTATGGAAACTTAGTCCAAACCCATAAGGGAAATAGGATAATGGATAAGCTTTGGATAAAGCATGTACTAAGTTCTTTCCCTACTACTTGCTATGCCATTTATCTTGTTTGATATCTGGTTCGAGTTCAGCTATGATATGCTCATTAAAGAAGGTATAGAATAGAAAGCAAATACAAATGCTACCCAAATCCATTTTTTGTTCCAACATTAAGCAAGGATTTGTTCCCATGTAGGTAATGCTGATTATACAGATTACATTTCCTTCTTGGGCAGTCAAAGTGTGAAAATTAAACGTGAATCTATGAAAGCATCTTCGATTTCAAAGGCAATGCTAAGGTGGTTGGGATCTTTATATTCTATGTAGAGAATGACTTCTCGAAGAAGTCAAATACTGGATAACAATACAAAAAGCCTAAAAGGAAAACAGAGCAGAAAAATAATCTAACGTAGAAGAAGAGCAGATAAAGAAGCAGTGACTTACGTTGTTCCCGCTATTCTGGTACTAATATGAGTGATATTATCTGGAAAAAGTTTCGCCAACCCAAAATCTCCAATTTTAGGGTTAAAGTCTTTGTCGAGAAGTATGTTACTAGATTTGATGTCTCTATGAACAATATGGGGAACAAGTTCTTCATGAAGGAAAGCAAGACCCCTAGCAATACCTATACAAATAGCTGATCTCTTCCTCCAATCCAATTTGATATTTGTACTCCTTTGATCTGAAAAACCAAGGAATTCAAAAATGATAATTAAGTCTTCCTCAATGTTATTGGCCACCATTGAAACACAAGCTTCAGACCATCTTACCTAATAAAACTTTATCAAGACTCTTATTTTCAACATATTCATAGACCAATATCCGGTTCGCTCCTTGAATACAACATCCGATCAGCTCTACAAGGTTTGGATGCTTGACATTTGATATAATATTGATCTCTGTCAAAAATTCACGAGCTCCCTGTTTTGATTGGGCAGCAAGTGTCTTCACGGCAATTTCAGTTCCATCTTTTCGTATTCCCTAGCAACATATATATAATTAGTCACACACCAAGTTTGACTTACAAGTGAATGCTAGAATGTCCTATCGAAGGAATCAATTTTAGGAAGTTGCATTCGAGCTTATATAGATTCCTGACCCTCTAGGTCTAGATAGCCTCTAGTTTAAGTCTGCCACCATTGAAGGTTGCAACAGAAAGTATTTATCAAAAAAAAAAGGTTTCAACAGAAAGCTAAATTTCTGTAAACAAGTCCTTGTTTTTGGTTCTCTAATGTTCTCAATCTTTTATGAAATCAGTTCTAAGCCAAAACATAGCATTGATGAACTTGGATTCAAATCAATAGAAATTAGAAGCAGTACTAATATTATCAAATCAACTTTAAGCAGTACTAATGGATTTGCTGATATCCCTCAGATTGTGCACAGCAGTCAACTTGATAAAAAGGTCCTCCAATAACATAAGAAAAAATAAAACTGTAAGGAAAAATATGCATAGTTAAAACCTATATTCCTCAAACTCGGTGTGAGTTTCAGGTACCGGTATGTATCCAATTCAGGTATATTCATTGCATTTCTTTTTGAGTTTTCTATGCATTTGAAAGGTAATTGGAGGATTATATCTCATAC